TAATAAATGTTTGTTATTCCAAAGAATAATTGGGAGTAAAAATTAAGCAAGTTGTTATTATTTTATTTGGCTTTGCAGGTCAAGATCAATTTAAAGTTAAACTTGACTTATTTGACATGACTGTTTTTATTCTTACATTGTGCCCATAAAAGTGTCAAGATGAGTGCACGTGTAAAAGTCAAACTACCTTTACATTTTGCCAAAATAATTAATAACCCACGTCACTCAGAGACATGTTTATTAAAATCATAAGGAATGTATGAATAATTTATTTTTTCAAAGTGTTGAATAGTCTTTTTATGACTTAGATAGTTCTTTTATTGTTTTTCATTATCAATTATTGGGAATCTTTTTTTTTAAGAATGTTACTAATTCAACTCTACTTGACAGCGAAAGAATGAACATTATGCCACTTTTAAGTAAAGAAGGAAAAAGGCCACAAACAAAGATACAAGGCATCCGTAAAGTACAAAGTTGTAGCCTATGTTAGTAAATGATAATGATATACAAGCAAAAACCTGAAATATCGGTCAGTTATTTAATCAAAGTCAAACCCCTAACGATATCCATTATAATAGACACAATGACAATAAATCTATCAAGCTTTATTACATTTGGTTCATAGGCTTAAAGGAATACTGATGGACAGGCTTAAACCAGTATATACCGCTTTCAGCTTGTGTGCCTCTTCCAATTACCAACTTGAGTACAACTCGTACTTTAATCTGAAAAAAAGTTAACATCAGCAAATTTGGCCTGGTCAGCATCTATACATATACTATACTTCAATGTTTAAATTTTAGTTTAATAAAAAAATGATAAACCCGAAATATGAACAGTATTATCTCCACATTTTAACATGTACACAGCGTTTATCAAGTGTTTAGATATAAAATTCGAAAGTGTATTATATATTATCTGTATGAAAAGATACGGTTTGTTCGCAGAGCAAGGTTTTATGAATGTGTTAGTGTTTTATAGAGGATACATTTTAAATGTAGGTGATTAATATATTTCAGTTTTATCATTTTAATTGAGCAAAAAACAGGCACAATTTAGATATTTGATCTTTAAGTTCAAGGTCAATTATGAATGAAGGTCACGGTTAGTTTGGTCAAATATAATGTCTTTTCCTTATCAAGTATGAAGACAATACACAAAGAACTTGAAAAATTATGGTCTTGGTACAAGTTTGCTGAATAAAACGGCATCGGCAACGGCAACGTCGAAGTAACTATAACAATTTCTCGAAACACTCATTTTTCAATCACAATCTAAATTCAACCACATCTTTAATTCTGTGGCGCAGTAGTCATGTCTGACTAAAATGCTAAAGTCACGTGTTGTATTAACTTCAACACTTGCAGAAATTCCATAATTGATTGTCAGATGTTATCAGAAAAAAACAATAAGAAACTGTTTGTTTTAAGTGACACAATATAGATTGTCCAACGTTAACTATAACAAAATAGTCACTTGTTTAAGATAGTTATAAAAATCCAAGCATCATGTTCAATTTCTTTTTTATAAAATATTGGCTACAGAGACTTACCATTTAAGGTGTTTTTGATAAATTTATTTAAATGTTGTACTATACAATATTCATTAGACTTTACATAGGGGTCCTAATTTAACAACACCCTAATTTGTAATCAAGTTTTTTTTTCAAGTGATGACTGAAGAATAAATGTTTTGTAAGTGATGCCAGCTGGCAGATCTGGACAAGTTTCTATATTTAGTAACATTATAACGTGGGTAAGGTAAAATGGCTGTTATGGTTTGATGCATTTATCAAACGTACTAAGAAGTGACACCTTCAACTGCCCTTTTGGTACTCATTTATAGTAGCCATACAAATGCTTTGTTCTGTATGTATGTTATATTATTAAGTGTAAAAATTTTAAAATCTTGAAAGCTGAACACTGAAATTACTGAATAGACTTTTGTGAAATTTTCTGCCGGACATATCTGGAACAATTATTCAGTGATAACCCTGCTGTTTGAATTAAGGTTGAAATATTCATATGAGTGCGTCATTTTGTTTTTTATTGATTGTTTTTTAGAAATGCCAAGTTATGTTTAAAATGTACCAACCTTAAGTGAATAAATGCTGATAGACGCCTTAATAGCTAAAATGATTTAAAGCATAATTTCCCTTACCATTTATTATTGGCTGAAAACAGCTTTAACTGATTGAATATTGGTTGTGTCGGGATATCTCTATTTTTTATTTTTTATTTTATGATTATTTCTTTTTTTTCACAGACAATGAATCAAACACTTATTATGGCCATTTCAGTTAGACGCCATTGTATGGTGTCCGATAAAAGTCATTTCGAACCCGCGAGAAATTTTATCGTTTTATCATAAAATGTCGCGGGCACTTACAAATGCGCGAGATTTATAAGCCAAAGTTGTACAAAATGTCGCGGGGAATGTATAAACCTAAAAATGTTATAACAGTTGTTGGACACAGCAAGGAATATTTTGACTCCAATGCACGGTTTCACTCACGTGTCTAGCAGAAAGAAATCAGCGGCATTTTTGCCAGTGTAGTAGAAATTCTCATTACAATCGACGGGAAAAATGTTGACTGTATACTTTTTGTTCCTTAACAACAGTCTCATAAAATATCGCGGCCAGTAATCGCAATTTTTAGCCCCGATTGATTGCGCAGAGACATTTCCCGGCAAAAAAACGAGGCTTACTGCTCAAAGGCACTTTTTACAAGGTATGCATCTTAAGTAAACATATGTTTGCGTGGCTAAGTCTACCATGTAGACAGAAAATATTGCAATGTCATTCTTAAAAGTCGTTTTTTTACGACAGAAGTGTGACAGAAAATCTCTGGAATTTCTATAGGCACCGACAATTTTATACAATTCCGATATAAAATCTCGCGGGATTAAAAGTTGCCATTTTATGAAGTGACGATGAGATTTCCGCGGCTTTAAAATGGACACTACAGACTACCATACTTTTGTAATTCAATTAAAAGTGACTGGAGTTTCCTGAATAAAAAATTTTCCTTTAATAAGATTTGCAGCAGTGTTCTGTTAGCCGAAGGGTTTTTATTGACGAAATATTTTACGATCTTGATGATGAAACTTGTGTCGTGATTCCAAACGCTCATCTTGAGGTCATTTTGAAGGTCTTGGTCAAAATCAACTTGACCCCGAAATATCATTTTCATCAATATTCATTTTTTTCTTAATTGCAATGAGAAAGAAATCCTGCCTACTTCACGAATGTATTCACTTGGATTCGATCTATCCAAAAATTCCAGTGTGAGCCAAGGTTTTAGTCAAAGTTACCTCAAATGTCAAATATTTGCAATGGCCATTAACAGAACGCCTTTAACCCAAAAACTTTAATCTTTACTGTGTATCCACATTGACAAGAATGACAATACCTACCAATTGATCAACATTTCCATGTTCAAGGTCATTAAAACCGTAAAATATATATGCATTTGCAATGAAAAGTAATTCTACCCAAAACATTATGATTTTATATGTGAGCATATTAGCTCTCCCCTCCGTAAACCTGAAAAGGTCCACGTGTCAAGGTCAACTATATATTCAGCAAAACGATTGAAGGCAAATCCATCCACATCCTTCAAACACCATATATTTATCCACTTTAATAATGCTCTTAGCGATAATCCAACTTTCACAATCCATCTCGGGAAGTTTCTGCAGAACCCTTATCTCGGCCTAACGGCATTGACATTTCTTTTGAGCAGAAACATCCCTCGGTGTTGCCCGACCCAGGGTTATATTCTCGCATATACTTTAACTACTACAAAGGAAATTAAGGTATCAACATTAAACTGTTCTTATTACAAAATAATTAAAAGGTCAGACTTGTAAACAGAATCTGAAGTACACATTATATTCACAGAAAATGCAAAATATAAAGAGAGACCTTAGCTACCCTATGCAATAATGGCGTAGAGACAATAGAGCACATGTTCTTGCAGTGCAAGAATGTCAAACAACTGATTCATGTATTTTTTGCTGAAGAATCTTTATCATCCATAAATGAATGTGATACGTTTTTGGCTACAATTTTGAGGATGAACTGTCCAAACAAAAAATAAACTTAATTTTAATATATTTTGAAATGTGTGGGTACCAGTGTAAATTTGTTAGCATATCCCTATGTCTTACCGGAATTAAAATGTTCGTTTCATAGGAAACATAAAATTGATAAAGGGACAGAAATGACAAATATACCCGACTTTTGTTTATTGAAATAAAGATCTTTCGAGAAAGTTTTTTACAAAATATTTCACGGGACACTTATGCTCGCTGTTTTCATTCAACGAATTTAAATCAACGAAATTTTATTTCATTGACTGTAAAATTAATAATGCTTATTCTGGGAATTTAAGCCGAAGAAATAGTCCTTATTGATCAAACCAAACATAAATCATGCCTGCAAAATTAAGTGAAATTAGAGAACCTGTTAAAATGGCTAACTTAATTTATTAGCATTGTTTCAATTTCGGCACAGATCTGACTCTATTTTATTTTCTTTTTTTATTGCCTGAATTATAATCATTATAACCTCTGAAGGGTCTTTATGACTCATCATGTCCTTTTGTTTTTGTCTCTTTTTTCACAAACGTGAAATGAGGCAATATTCATTACACACGTATATATATGATATTCTTTCTTGTGTTTGAAAGCTTTCTTTGATTTTTCGTTCTCACTTCTGTTTATTTGGGAGCGTGCGCGCCCGCGCGTGTGCGTGTGAGTGTGTGTGTGTGAATGTGCGAGCGTGTGTGCGAGCGTGTTTGTATGTGTGTATTTCGTGTCCTCTTTTGTCTTTTGACTGTTCTCTGCTCTATTAATGTTTTAGTGTCCTTCATTTTTAATATACCTTTCATTTTGCATTTGAAAAACGCATAGTAGAATGTGCTTCGACCATCTGTGGTTATGTGGCGGAGCAAATAAATGGGGTTACCCAAAAAGGTGTTTTCTTATTTCAGTTAGATTTAATTTTGAATCGGGCAGTGATGAATAAAACTTATTCAGGACCTTCGCAGAAGAAGGATACCTCTTCTTCTGATTTCTCTCACACTTTTCCATTAAATGATCCAGCAAGAAATATGAGTGAGGAGGAACAGAAACAGGAAAAAGAAAGATTTATGATGGAGATACAATACTTGATGTCAGATGAAATATTTGACGACGTTGTTATAACACCTGCACCGTCAGATAATGTTAGTTTTATTATTATTATTATATTATTATTATTATTATTATTATTATTATTATTAATAATAATAATAATAATAATTTGTAAGAAAGGTAGCAAGGTAGCAAAGTGTTAACAAAGTAGTTTTTTTACTTCAAATAATATACTAACTCACTTTAATTGTGCCCTGCTAAAAGAAGCGAAATATATCTCATCTGTATGGCCAATGAGTAACATTTATGGAACAATAAAAGAACACCTTAAATGAAAAGCTTCTACAAAAACATAATTATTGCAATTCTGAGTATAACTGTGCCTTTAAATTTGAATTCAAAAATCGAAATCAATTTAAGTGGACCAACAGTTTTGCCAATGAAAAGAATGTATTGCTCGAATAGGAAAATACTTCCTGGAACAGTATCATTATAATTGATTCTATAATGAACAAGTTTGTCGAAAAAAGCAAACAATTCTTTCAAATCATCTGTTCTAAAGTACACTGTAATACAGCGTTACCGTAGCTAATGTGATCATCCACCCTAATATATTTACATTTAAATCTTCCTATTTATATTTCAGTGCAGTTTAACAGAAAGGTGAGTGTTTGATATTTTAATCTGAATAGTTACAGTTTCACATATTTTAAACCGTACATAAAATAAGTTTGTTCTTGAAACTATGGTCAATCAATTAGATCTACAAATGCCAAAAATTAAATCAAATATTTTCGACTGTATTTAAAGTTAGTGACCGTTTTGGCTGGAACAATTTTACCCAAGTGGCAAGATTTATATAGCTGTTGCAGAGTATTACAAGACGGTGCTGCTTGCAAAACATCTTAACTCTTGGCATTGTACTTTCAAGAATTTTAAGAAATTCTATGTAAATTAAGCTGTAATAGCGCGTAGCCATTTTGGACCTAAGGGGCATTGCTTATACACATTATATAGAGGTTCACTAGACAATGTTACAGACAAAATATTTATGCTCATGGTAATTTGTATTTTTAAAAAAAGATATATTTAAATGATTTCCGTATGCATGTCTATTTTCTGTTTATGGAGAAATTAACTGGAAGTTTTTATTTTCTCTTTATCCTCAATTTCAAAAACCTCGATTTATTTATTCTTTTTTTAACAAGAAATTTTGTTCGCCTGTCAACAATATAGTAAGAAGGTTTGCTCTAAAATAGTCTTTCAATTTATTATAATCAATATCGAATAAATATAAAACTCATGGTTTACGTGGAAATATTCCTGAAATATGCTTGAAATGTTAAAACAAGCACGACTTATAGCATTATATATGACACACAACAGATTGTGTGATCCCCAATAAACGTTTTCATATCAAGTTTGGGCTCCTCGCCGCTGGTTCTTGTTGCTGGGTCGTGTGGTGGCTGCGTTCATTGATTGTTGATTTTGTTTATCATATTTGTGATAACGACGATGCCCAGAGGTTAGTATCTACTAGAATACTTCTGTGCATATAGTTTAGATATATTGCATATTACATAACTTGGTTTACATAAACTAAGGTTTATGATGATCCTGTTATAGTCAAAAATAGTGTCCGAGCGTGACGAAATTAAAGTTTACTTTTATTTTCAGTGTACTTTACTCGCTGGTTTTGACATATTTTTTATTAATTTGCAAATAATGAAAACTCTGTTAACACTCTAAAAATGACATTTTCAACCCAAACATCTTAGAAATATGCCAGAATGGATATTTGCAACATTATATATGCATTTACTAGTGTCATTAACGGGGTTACAAAGCCCAAATATGGAAAAACCTAGTTATCACTCAAAAAGAAGAATTTTGAGCCAAAATATCCGAGATATTAGTCAAAAATGTTGCTTCTATGACTTCTAGCTAATGTTCAAATCATGATCTTTTGGACTCAAAATTAAGTTTCAAAGCCAAAATTATGGAACAACATTGTTAACAATCGACAGGTTACATTTTCATTCTAAGTAGCCTGGAAATATGTCATGTTGTTTTGATAATTACTTTCGCAAATTTAATTTGGGTTATCTTGGGTAAGAACTAAGACCACAAGCATTCTAGATGTTTTATTTTTGAAATTTGCCAGAAATGTCGTTTTTATGATGTCTAATTCGAGACTTATGTTTATCAAAATAATGGACATTTTTTTTTCGTACTTGCAGATGTGTAAATATAATGTCTTAGTGTAGGACATAATAAAATGTAAACTAAGCATTATATTTACAAATCTGCTAAAAAGTGTTATTTTCTAATACTTAAAAATATCGTATAAAATAAGTGGAACCCTTTGATTTGAGGATGAAAAAAATATAGTAGAAGTTGTTTTTATCATAGACTTTTCCCCATAATTAAGTAAATATTAGCGCTTCAGTTTCTTATATTTGTAATAATACATAATTCAACTGGAAGTGACCATTTGTGAACAAGAAAACCTTAACATCAGTTTGGGTGTGATTTTACTCAGAGACATTCTAACTTACCAATCACACTGATAAACAAACATTTCTCAGTTTCACAAAAATAGTGTAATTCTTTATAATATCAAATGCCAAAAATTCATGCATTTCTCATTATTTGATGAAACACACACATGCCTTTTGATGGCTTAATGAATTATAAGCAACATAGGTAATATAGATTTTTAGATATTTTAGATTAGATTTAGATCTACTTCAAATAAATTTTAGAAGGTCATAGACCCATGAGGAAAACATATTTACAAATAATCAACATATTTACATGAAAACGCATACATGTATAAAGAAATCAGCATTTATGCTCATAATATATATTTAACATTATTTCCTGCCATAATTTATCCAAAGAAAATGTTAACATACAATGTTCTATTGGTAGAGATAAGCAATATTAAAAGTATCTTTTTTCCAGAAGTGATCATGTATTTTAACTTAGTATACTCGAGTTTGTATTATACAGAAATTAACACTATGTTTCAGACACAGTGTTATTAAAAAGACAGTAATAAAAACAGTGCAAACGACCATGTGCAACAATTGTACATTTGTTATGAATTGCTTCTTTTCATTAGGATAATTCCCCATGATTAATTGCAGCAAGCGAAACGGTTTGATTCTTTTAAAAGTGTTTTGTAGAAACAAAGAATAACAGCAATTTCCAAATTTCAAGTCTGTAAGTAAAAAAAAAACAAGATCGTAGGTCAAACTATATAAAAATATCAATAGTAGGTCAGCTGATATGAAAATTCAATTCAGCATCAGAAATTACACCCCTTGTATAAATATAAAGTCTGTACTTCGCATTACAGGAAAGTAGGTCACATGGTATTAATTTTTTTATGTTATAAGTATGTAAGCAGATATCAACAATCAATTTGACATAAAAAATTACCCATGGTCCAAATGTCAAGTCTATATGTCAAAAAAATAAAGTAGGTCAAATGGTGTCAATAATACCAAACAGAGGTCAGCTTTATTAAGATTGAATTCAACATCAAACATTATACCCTTAGTCTATATTTCAAGTATGTATGCCAAAAAAACAAGGAAGTAGGTAAAATGATATCAAAAAATCAAAAGTAGGTCAGATTTTATCAAAATGTGATTTGATATCAGAAATTACTCCCTTGGTCAAAATTCCATGTATGTATGTCAAAAAGCAAGCAAGTGGGTAAACTGATATCAATTATATCAAAAGTAGGTTAGCTGATATCAAAATTCAATTTGGCATGATAAATAACACCCATGGGGCAAACGTCCAGTTTGTTCATCAAAAAAATCAAGAAAGTAGGTCAAGCGATATAAAAATATAAAATAATGATCAGTTGAAATCAAAATTCAATCTGTCATCAGAAATTACACACCTGGTCCAAATTTAAAATCTGAATGTCAAAAAAATACAGAAAATAGGTCAAATGGTGTCATTAATATCAAAAATAGGTCAGCTGATATCACAATTCAATTCAACATCAAAAAGTGCACAAGTTACACCCCTGGTCCAAATTTCACATCGGTACATAAAAGACAAAAAATTAGGTCAAGCAATATCAAAAATATCAAAAGTTGACCAGTTCATATCAAAATTCAATTCAGGATCAGAATTCAAACCCCTTGTCATCAAAAAATACGAGAAATTAGGTCAAAAACTATCAAATAATAATATCAAAAGTAGTCAGTTGAAATCTTAATTCAATTCACATCAGAAATTATATTTCTGTCTGTACATCAAATAACAAGAAACTTGGTGAAATGGTTTCAAAAATATCAGAAACCAAAATTCAATTATACACATGAAAATTAATGTTCAACAGTTTGTCCCAAAATATATTGAAATGTGCTTCCTCCAAGTCTGAATCCAAAACAACAAAAAATGGGGAAAATACAATTTTTAACAATATTCAATAAAAATAATTGAGCGTATTAACTCATCTTTCTTTGTAAGGTAAGAAAACAAATGTAACCTTTTATAAGCCTAATTTTACTTCCTGGGGATAATTCTCTACTCTGGGCTACAACCGACGCTTCGAGGATGCAATAGGATTTCAAAATCCAAGAGCTGAAATATATTTACAAGTAATTCTTTTGTTGCCTAGCTTAACAAGAATGCGCTTGTGAACATTGAATAGTATCCAGAATTAAATTTTCTTCTATACAATTGAACTTTGCCAAAGTATAGTTGTGTCTAGTAAAGACTTATTTTAACATGTAAAATCAAAGACAATGTGCAGATATGTTTACTGTTCAGATACAAAGCACATGACCTCAGATCATTTCTTAAGCAAACAGGTCAGGATATTAAGACTTTCTCCCTGATATTGATTGAAAAATTGCATAACATGTACACATGTATGGAAAATATTCCAACATAAGTTGTTTCCCTTTCATTATGAAAGGTATGCTATGCTCATAATTGAGTAAAATATTTTCATCATAGAAATTTATTGAAATATAATAAATTCTTAAGCTACACTCCCTTATAGACCAACTTAAGTTGGTATTTACTACAAAAAGCCAGCTTTTTTAATGACACTATATTCACCTATTCATACTATGACCTCCTATAGTGTGAAGTGAAGAGTGTTAAACATAACACATCTACTTTGTGAGACCAAACACTATTATTTTATATTTATAAAGAAACTGTGTATCCATTGCCAATAATTTCTTAACTGAGTATATGATATCTTAAAACTATAGTTTGAAGAAATACCATGGCCTGGGGCATTTTAGTTTTAGCGGCCCCTGAAAAGGGCAATCAAATCAATATGAGCAAGCATGATAACAGACCTAAGAATGCTACAAAGTTTGGTAATCATCCATCAAAAAAGTCAATAAGAGATGATATTCAAAGGTTTTTTTTTTCTATTTTTAGCTTTAGCGGCCTCTAAAAGGGGCCAATCAAATTAATATGAGCAAGTTGATAAAATACTACCCAAGAATGCTACAGACAAAGTTTGGTGATTGCTCATCAATTAGTTCTGTAGAAGATGTCTGAAGGTTTTTTTTTATTTTTAGTTCTAGAGACCCTTAAAAGACGCAAATCAATTTAATATAAGCAAATTTGATAAAAGACTACCTAAGAATGATACAGATACATTTTGGTGATCATATTATGTAATTTAGTAGTAGAAGAGGATTAAAGGTTTTTCTATTCTTAGCTCTGTTTACCCCTAAAACGGACAATTCAAATGACATGAACAAATTCAAGGGTAACTTGTACAAGGATGCTGCAGACCAAACTTGAGGTAAATCAGCTCAGCAGTTTCAGATAAGAATAGAATTGTTGACGCATGACGTCGAACGCCGGACCATCTCCATTTAATGCTAATAACTCACGCTGAACCTTCGGTTCTGGTGAGCTAAAATGTTCGTAACAAAATGCTATGCTGTTTTTAGTAGAATTTAACCATTTAGTAATGATTTTGAGCAGATGTCATTTGTTAGATATTTAATAAACCTAATTAATGCTTTTAGTAAGTGTAACTTAATCTAGTACATTCATATTTTTTCAGATTTGGCAGGCTAGAAGTATTCAAAAAACCTGTGTTGTTTATCTACTCTGACAGTGACAACAACCTCACAATTTCAGAACTTGTTATGGCACAGATAAGTAGTATATGTTGTTGCTGTATGTGGCCTATATAAAACAGGAAAGTCGTATCTGATGAACAGATTGGCGAACGAAAGCAAAGGTATTTGCGTGTTTCGATAATGTTTATGAAATACGTATCCCTAGAGTTAGCATGTTATATTTAAATTCGCACAGGTAATATAAGTTTATAGAATATTTTATTTTAATACTATTTTTTCTTTGATTGAATACCTAGGCCCTGCACTGTTCTTAGCTATATTTTGTATTTTGATATTGATCCCCCTCTAACTTTGAGTGAAGGAATAATTTTCTTTGCTTCTATATAGGAAAAATTGAGTTCAGACCGAGTCTCATATGTATAACTGTTAAGTTATCAAGGAAATTGCTCTTTCAAAATATTGTTATTTTTTGTCATTTTTTACATTCTTTCTCTATTTATTTATTTATTTAGTTTTTATTTTCGCTCTTGTGTGTTCGTATTGTTTTTTATGTTTTGTTTGTTTGTATTAGCTCTTTTTCTGTTGTTATAAAGGATTTTCACTTGGGAGCACAGTTCGGTCAGAGACAAAAGGTATTTGGGCCTGGTGTAAACCTCATCCAACACAAAAAGAACAAGTTTTACTTTTACTTGATACAGAAGGTTTAGGAGATGTAGCCAAGTTATACCTCTACTAATATCTTCATTAAATGTCATTTTAAATAAAACGGCTTATATAATTGGAGCTCTTTATCTGAAAAATATCGTTCTATACATAAAAAATGTTAAACAGATGTGATTTAGTTTTATGTATGGAAAAAAATAATCAAGACAAATAATTTTATATTTACCCCCATCTTTCTCACGTCATCAGCTTCTTTGACACACTTAAGCCATTATTAAAAATGTAATACCCATCTTTGCCCTTTGTTTTTGTTAGTCTTCATTCTAGGATCATACAGCAATCTTTTGAATAAGATTTTTAAAGAACTAAATTGATTAGACTTGCACTCATAAATGACCTTGTCCTTGAAAGCCATATTAATGACTGTTTGTGTGATTTTCACTATAATAGTAAATAGTTATAATGGTTAACAAGAGCTAGCTCTTCCGGGGTATAAGGTTAATTGCTCTGTTGCTACTTCCGAGCTAGTGCATGTCGCCGAATTTTATTGTCAACAAAAATATAATGTTGAATGACAACTTGAATTATTTTACAAGGACGCATATAGATAACGAATTCTTGTTTGAATTGTACTTATGGGGGCATTGCTATTAGTGAATTTGGCCATAAAATGTACCGTTCCAAAGTGATGCTATTACTTCTTTCTTTATTGAAAAATCAGTTCCCCTTTTGGTTGATGAAAACATGTTTACGCATGATTTAATTTAAGTCTTGGTCAACAATATTAAATATAGTTAACCACAGACAGTTGCACAGTCCATTATTTGTATACGGATATAAGAAAACTTTGTATTTCCATCAGAAGAAAATTTAATCCTGTCATTCTTCAGTGAACTATGCGTCTTATTTAAAATCATATTATACTCGGCTGGGCTTCTTATGCAAACCATTTTTACCTAGTGTTACCACGCCGCCCCCCCCCCCCCAAGCAAAAACAATGTTGAAATTACATGTGTGTAGTATTTAAAACTACAACAAAAATGTCAAATGTCTGACTTAAGAGCATTCAGTTTTAGTATTTATTGTTGTACTCGTTCATTTCCTATCACTGTATCTGTAGGCATATCAGAATAGAAAATAAATAATTATTGTAGCAAAAGTTGGATAAGAAAAGTCGCGCATATAGAATTATTACATGATCCTGAAACTATAGAACTATCCCCTTGGCAACATGACTACCTACAGCACTCTCAAAAAATAAATGTAGCAAACGTCAAAAGACAAAATAAAAAAAGCAGGCAACATTTCCTTAGGGTGACTCAACATTATTCAAGTAGGAATATTGGAACCACCCAAGTAGAAGAATTCCGAAAAGTAAAAACTAAAATGTACCACAAATACAATAATGTCGTGCTGAACAATCTCCAAGGATCAGAAATATAACATCTCTTGTAACTTTACCTTCCCGTGAAACTTTAATTTAGCCATAACATCCAGAATTTACAAAAGACATATAATAGGACAACTTTATACCTTTGTTGACTCTGAAATTTGTTATTAAGCAGGCGCGAATTGGCAATAATGTTATTTATGAATGGACTGTGTTACTACTTAAGCACAACTTCCCAAATGACAATGTCTTAAAAAAACATTGATTTCCATTTGACGTTTACCAATATATATCTTGACTTTAGAGGTAAATTATTGTAACTTCAGATTTTTGCTATAGAAATTGCTATAACTTTGTAATTAATGACAAATACAAGATAAGACAAGACATTTCAGATTATCTAATTGAATTTGATCGTGACCTTGATATAACATTGACACTTAAATTCAAATTGGTAAATTTTACTATAATTTACAATAACTTTGTTATTCTTTTGTGGATTTGATTTAAACTTATGATAAACAACCCTTATGACACAACCTGTATGTTGTATAATTCAAATATGATATTGACCTTTTGAACTTGACAATTAAGGTCCAGTTATTGGAATAACTGATATTGTCATTACTTCGCTTTTTATGTGATTTGATTTATATTTGAACAAAATAATACATATTCTTCAACCTTTAATTGACCTTAACCGTCAATTGACAGTCAATGTAAAACTATTGAAATTGGTGCACATTGTCATAACTCGCATATTTGATTCATATTTGGACAAACGGACAGGTTCAAGTATTTGATATTAATTTGAACTTTGACATACTAACCTTGCAGGTCATGGTCAAATTATTGGAATTAGTTGAAAAAAACTTTGCTTTTATTGACATACTTTATTCATACTTGAATAGAAGAACACATACATGTATGACCAAAAAGACATGTTGAATAGTTATAATATAACTTTGACCTTATATGACATTGACTGTCAATATCAGATTATTGAAATTTGCTTTTACAAATGGTCATAACTTTGTTACTTATTTATGGATTTGATTCATTCTTTGACAAAACCGACATGATGATTAATTCAAATGTGAATTCTCAGTCTCAAATATAAAATTTAAATTATATTTGTCACCAAAAATGTTTTGTAGGAACGCTCTTTTCTATAATGTTCTAAAGATAAGACATTGACTTTAGAATTATTTTCCATTTCAGGGGGACACTGAACATGATAACAAGATGTTTAGTCTAACAATGCTTCTCAGTAGCACTATCATTTACAATAACACGGGTGTTTTCAATCAAGATGCTGTTGAAAAATTGGCGTATCCTTTTAGAATGATTGCAATGAATGCTTTTGTTTTTAGTCCCCTAGGGACAACTTATAAAAATTATAGCTTCATAACAGGCTTCATAACCTGTGACCCCCTTTCAAAATTCCATTTTGTTTAGTTCCATCCATTGTTTACTCGTTTAGGGCACAAGCTTTTTATTACACTGGGACCATACGTCGCTTTTCATGGAATGGCACTACTGTGTCACATTGAAGGTTTCATGATAACCGCCATATGAACACATCTGCGGATTTTAAAAATTCAATTTTTTACAAATTTCATGTTTAAATGTTGAATTCTGCTAAAGCCGGTGCTAGGGGTCGTGGACAGAAGTTTGCACTTGACAGTACCGTCCATGAACAGACTCAATCAAACCGAGCCTGCAACATATTTTGACGTGTTGGTCTTTACTTTAGGGATTCTTATTTCCTCTATTTTATATCCGGTGCCCAGAAGGATCATTTTTCTTTTTGTTGTATATAGTAAACACGAAAAGATTTTCTGCTGTTGTGGCAAAAACTATAATTTAGATAAAATTTGCATGAAACCTTGAGTGAGCCTCTTTCAAGTTTGTTCAAATCATTGCCCTGGTTTCATAATTTCATAATTGGACCTGCCCCGAGGGTCATAGTTTTTTCTTATATATAGTAAAAACCTTATAAAAAGATATTCTCCTCCGAAATGGCAAAGGCTAAAGTATAGAAATTTGGCATGGATATTTGTGTGCGGACCTTTATCAAGCCCTGCCATTTGGGAGTGGTAGTTTTTCTTGTATACATGTAGTAAATACATTACCTAGTAGACATCGATCAAAGTTCAACAAAGTATGCCTTTATGTCAAAATTGGCGTAGTCTACATTGTGAAGTTGACCTCTACTAACTTTATTCTAATTCTCGTAGTCATGGTGAATGCAAAATTGCCTCCGCCTCGATGTGACATAGATTTGCAGTATGTACATATAGTAAAATATTGGAAAAAATTATCATCTGAAGCTTTAAAAGCTACAGCTTTAATATTTGGCATAAATGAGGTCCCCTCTAAATAGATTTATCAAATTATGACCCTTGAGTCAAAATAAGCCCTGCCCTTGGTGTCATTAGTATTCTTCATATACATAATTAAAAGCAATAATACATGTTCTCAGAAATATTGGCTGGTGAACCAATATTCGATTTGTTTGAATTAAAGCCGAAATTGCCCTGCCAATTGGAACTCAGTGACCTACTTTTGTGATTTGATATACAGCTATCAAGTGTAGATCATATACACAGTTTCAAATGTAGAATTGAACTTTGATATGAGCTGACATTTTTGACCATGTGCTCATTTTATGTGTAGTATTGAAATCTTACTATTGATACAGTTGTTATATTGACCTGTTTTTTGTTTGTTTGTTTTTTTTGGGGGGAGGGGGTTATATATACAGCTACAAAGTTTTGACTATGTGCACAGTTTTAGATATAAATTAAAATTTGATATCTGTCGAACTAGATTTTAACACAGTTACTTACATTCTTGTTGTTAACGTTCAGCTATGAACTTTGGACCATGTACGTGTAAATTGAAGAACTGAACTCTTATATAAAATTACCTAAATATTGGCCTACTGTTGTTTGATGTACAGTTATGTATGAAGGACCATGTATATAGTAAACATTTAGAAAAGTATTTTCATTAAGTGTGGTCTAGTGACGAACAAATTCTGTCTGTCCTGAGATGAGCGCCTTTGTGTTTGAATTCCCTGACAAAGTATTTGTTTTTTTGTGATTTGAAATTTAGATGTAAACATTTAGAAAAGTATTTTGCATGAAGTGTTGTCTAGTGACAAACAAAGTATGTCTGTCCTGAGATGAACGCCTTTGGGCATGAATTCACTGGCAAACTATTCGTTTCTTTTGATGTGAAATGTATATGAATAAATTTCTGACAGTCTATTTATCTATAGCTTATCAATGTTCATGTGCATCAGTTTGAGGCATTTCCCTTAAAGGGCGCCACTGAATTTCTGAAGCCTGAAACATGAAATTTGAAATTATTTCGAAGATCAACATGCAAAAGATAAAAAAGAACTATATCCAATTTCTGTGAAATTCCTAGCACGATTCGAAATAATATCATTCCGCCCCTTTTCTTTCTAATGAGTCATTTTGTAATTTTATTGTTATATCCTCTAAGAACGGAGTGAGTGAATGATAAAAAAAGCATTGATATTTTGGAATAGATCATCTTTTTACGCAAATCTCAAAAAAGTCTTATAACGTAAGAAAAACTAAGCAAAGTGCCATTCATATGTTGAGTTTTTAAAGATGTATATTATAGCTGCTTTTTTCATGGAAACAGATGAGCTATTTTAGTGACCTGATCTTCGGCGTCAACACAAAATAGTTAAGATTTTTTACACTTTCGTTTAAAGATTTCTGTTGCATAAACACAAGTAATTTGTTAATGCTGATATCTTTATTTTTTCTTTAACATATGACAGCTTTATAACACGAGTATCGAAAAAATGTACAGGTTTTGCCCAGATTAAACAAAGAAGATAATGAAAATACCATGAAAGTAATCACTCTTATTTTCATTTTGTGTCTTCGAGACTTTTATCTTGAGGTAATAGACGAAGATGGTACAGAAATGTCTCCTGATAAATACTTTGAGGATTGTTTGTCCATGTCAGACGGCCAAGGCAAGGAGAAAATTGACGAAACGAGGGAATGCATCAAAAAATACTTTCCCAGAAGAAAATGTTTCACGCTTGCACAACCAGCTATGGGCAGAAAGCTTGCTAAAGTTGATGCTTATGAGGATAATCAACTCAACGACGAATTTGTTAGTGACTGTAACAGTCTTCAAGAATATGTGTATGCATGTGAACATAAAGTTACAGACGGAGTTACAAAGGCTCCGGTTCAAGGTAATGGTAAGTAAAAACAAAATTTTAATATCATCCAATAATGTAAAGATGCTGTTTTTGCATGAATAAACGAGACATTAAAGGGCAAAATTAGGCAAAATGTGCATTTGTTATTAACAGATTCATATTACTTTCTTCGCATGTTAATATAATGGTGCATAAAGTGTTGAAAAAAATTAACATTCAATTCAACAAGTGCTCAAAGAAGAATATTTTCTGTGCAGATATTATTTTTTGCTTCTTTAGAAAGGGCAAAGATGAATTTCATAATGTTCATAAAATGGATTTAAAGACATAGTAGTATTTGTTACTTGAAATAATAGTGATGAATGTGAAATAATTTGCCACAAAAGTAGCATGTAAAAAAGTAGTATTTTACTTCCAAACAAAATACTAATTTACTATAATAACTGTAGTAGAACAGATGAAAAAGATGATTCCGGTAATTGACCATTGCGTAACATTTTAGAAATACAATAAAAAGCACACTAAAATTAAAAGCTTTTGGGAAATGAATATAAAAGCATTTCTAAGTCATAATGAGCCTATATTCACTTGTAAACTAAAATTAACGTAAAGAAATTATAGAGTGAAGAGTTTCGATATTCGAGCTGTCGATCCTCTACAGATCAAATGTTATGAATCCTGTATATAACAAACAAGCTGTTAAAAATATTAAAATTAAAAAGCAGACAAAGTATCCTTAGGGTGATAGTACAATATTCAAGTAGGAATATCTGATCAATCCAACTAGCAAAAAGGCAACAATAATGGCATGCTGAACGATCTTTTCAAGCATTGGAAATTTAATATCTCCGACTGACTGTACTGGACGACATAATATGGTCTCCATACTTCACAATTTATAGATACTTATTTTAAGGAAAATCAATATTTTTACTGTTGAGTGCTGAGTGCTTTCTTACAGTGAACTTCCATATTAAAAAATCGATTCACCTACCTCGTGAATAAAATTCATATTAAAAGAAAATAGAGAAGTGGGAAACAAAAGTCAATTTGAAAATTGAATATTTTTGGTTGTAACTCTCGTTTTCACTTTTGGGCACGCGGAGGGAAAGTACGAAAAATGTTGACTTTGTCCTATTCCTGTGTTTTCGTCCAGAACCCCGCGGAGTGAAAATACGACATAGCTCAAATCAGCCATCATAATATCCTTCATTCCGGCGTGTATTACCCCACCTTTGTCGTGCTTTCATTTTTGGGATAATTCAAATATTTCACCGAAATATAAATGTTAATTTATCAAAAGATATGCAACATAGATGGAATCAGTTATATAAATTACAAAACTAAATTTCTTCATTGATGTCTTTCTTTTTTATAGAAGGTATAAAATATTGTCCAATAGACAGTGTTGTCGTTTGATGCCTTATTTCCTGCTTATGAATGATTTTCAGACTTTGAATCCTTTACGCGAACATATGTCGAAGCAATGCGGGCAGGGTCAATGCTGTCATACGAGACAGCATTTGATCAGGTGTCCAAGTTTCACAACAGCAAGTTGGTTGTTACATCTGTACATGAATTTGAAACTGAACTAAAAAGAATGGACACACCCGTAAAGCGTAAAACGGACATAGAAGGAAAAACATTTGACATACTTACCAAAAAGCTCAAACAGTTGAGGGAAAAGATGTATCCGTACAAAATTAATATTTTCGAAGATAAAGCATTGGTATGGTTGTGTTCTATAATCATTTTATCATTTTTTCAATAAATGATCTTGTTACACGTTCAATAATAAGTGTTAGATATAAGCTCTTATTTTAAAGTTTTATACTGAGTAAGCACTAATCTAATAGGTGGTCTGGTGGTAAATATTCATATTTTGTATAAGCGGTATTGTATATAAGGATATGTAATTGATAAAAAATTTACTCTTTATACACTGTATTGATGTAGTTAATATTTTAAATTCCTACGTTTTTATATACTGCATATTGACGTCAAGAAATCAAAAGTTTAAAGTTTGATTAAAAATGATATTTAAAGTTAAATGTTTGTTTAAACCTTAATACAAAAGGCAAATAAAAATGCAAATATCATTAACTATTCAGAACAAAATGAAAACAATTGCTGATGAATTTCGTGAACAAAACAGTGCACTGGTTCTACACATCCTACTAGAAGCTCTTGAAAAGCTTCACGAGGACATCATTAAACAAAATGAGATTTGGTTTGATTCAAAGGAAGGCTTGAAATTGTACAGTCAGAGTATCGATTGTATGAAAGTGTTGTTCAACAGCAAAATGCAAGACTATGACGAAGATGAGGTATACTCTCTCTCTCTCTCTCTCTCTCTCCCTCTCTCCCTCTCTCTCTCTCTCTCTCTCTCTCTCATTGCATATTCATTTATATATTTTACGTTTCAAAAGGACACCCTTCTGATAAAAGGTATTTTTTCACTAAGTCACGTTACATAGAGTTAGTTTATATATTTATAAGCAAACTTTTTGAAATCTTGAAAAACTATGTTTTTTTCAATTACTCATTACAGCGGTTGAAAGCAATTATCAATTTCGAAAAGAGTATCGATGATGAGAAAGTGAGGATTGCTTTCAACGCACAGTTGCATGAGGAGAAGGAAAGAAAAGGTAAGAAAATTTTACAGAATTTTACTTATGCAAATTAAGAATATTTCGACAGAAGTTTCCTTAAACACATAACGATAAACTTTATTAAAAATAAAATTTATTTCAGTACCAAAGCTTATTTAAAAACATGTCGCGGAAATGTAAGTTTGTTTTCTGTTAGATGGCGTGGTTATTATTATTTTAACTCTATAATACTCTATAATACTCAGTGAAGATAAGAAATTCCAACCAGATACCTTAGTTTCTTTTTGGAGTAACCACAGTGGTACACGCGATGTAGACTATATGCTGTCGAATACATGTTAAATCGCGCATTAGCATTTAAGGGGACTATCCTCAAGAAATAGTGAACGCTAGGAAAGAACTCTGGCCACACCATAAACAGGTCGCTAACATAGCGATCATTTGATGTATACTCTGTACCATTCAATGCTGTTATTTGAATATGCTCCTTTGAACATTTTTGTATGTTGATACTCCGCTTTGCTCCTTTGGTTTGCGCGCAAAAGTATTATAATATTTCTTTACTGCTGATAAATTTTCTGCCATTTGATTCCCGCGGCACACATATCCACGTGCTTTTCATGATATAAATAGAGATCGCATGGGCAAAGAAGTGTAGAAATAAGGATTTTGCTGTGAATTGTGTAGTTATACAGATTCTGTAGAAAAGAAACAATTTGGATTGGTAAAAAAAATGTTTAAAAGGAATATCAAAATTGAAAAGAGAAAGTGTTTCTCTTCAATTAATTGTTTTTACGACAAAATATCCCAGAAAATAACATGTGGTCAAACAGGTAAAGTTCCAATTCTAACTCAAAACATTTCAAGATCGGTATGAAGTTCTAAAGGAATCTTACCATATAAATATCAAAAAAACAAATCTCAGAACAATAAAACATAACAAATACAATAAACCAACTCCAAGTTCTTGGACATTGCAGTTTTAATCTTATAAACCCGTTCACCCATTGATTTTGATCATCACTATGAGGACAATGGTAAAACTATAACTAATTAAATTCGACAATAGAAAAATGAAACCCTGCAACAAGAGCCATACTGATCGACATAAAACCTACAGACAACAACAGTTAATCACCGGTCCATCATAGTTGGTCCCTGTAGGTTAATGGGATATAAGGGGAAACAACTTTCGAGTTACCCAGAATTTAAAATTGAAACATTGAAATTGCAACTTTGTTAAGGTGGTTGTGTAGATCACAAAATCCATTTTACAATATGTTACTTTGATACCATTGAGTGCGTTATTTTCCATAGAGAATGATGCTATCATCAGTATTCTGACTTTTCCAAAGATTTTAAAGATTTCTCGTATTCAATTATATTCTTTTATAATGATCTTGTGATAAGTAATTGACTACACCTTATTACATTGGCACAACACAAGGCTACTCTAAATAATTTCATATTATTTGTATTTATTGAATAGTGCGTGATTTATTTCGCTGGCTATTAAAGGTAACTCAATATTATCTTTCTAGAAATCGTCGCTTTAGTTCCAGAGTGACGCAAGTCATTTTTTGTGAAAAATGTCGAGTTTGGTATCATTTTTTTCAGCTCGACGAGTTCTACAAGATGAAACTACTTGTGACACTGTGGAACGCCAAATCATGCATTTTATGTTGGTATCTTAATGACGTATGTCGGTTCTGTGACTATTTATTTCGTTCCAAACTGACGCATCTTTTAAGCCAATCAAACACGTTCATTTACTGCATGTCTTGAAGCGCGGCCATTGCAATGAAAGCTGTGTTGAAACTTTTTGGACTTTTTCGATAAGATTTCATTGATCCTGATATGTTTTGGTTAATCTAAATATGTTTTATAGAAACATAACCAGAGTATCTGTTGATTGTGCTCCAAAAGCAATTGTTAAGTAATTGACAGAATTGGAATTAGTGCTCCAAGGAACTGAAATACTTTCGGATTTTCAAGGTTTCGGATAAAATGTAAGTAAGCATTGGAAACTGTTTGTCACATTTTCTATTACTGATATTTTGTAATTTATCTATAAATGTTTTTATTTAATATAATATGAAGAAAGATCTGTTGATATTACAGACTACAATCAATATAAAAAAATTAGAAAACCGACGGAGTATGATTTGGTCTGTTCACTAGTGATTATTTATAGTACAATACCACTCATAGCCTGTTTACTAGTATAAGCGGAACTGTATTATTAAAATATTGTTCTAAGACGATATAACAACACTGTGTCCAGATATCGGAAGATTTTTACAGCCACCACACTAGCACCTAGAAGACCTTTGTTGTGATTGTACATAAAAAAACTACCTTATTATAACCATATATCATAAGAAAAACACATTTCATCTTCTAATGCATTTTTTTCCATTATATTCAGATTCATGGAAAACCAAGTTGACAAGAATTCGATGGTGACTTTAATTGATCTACCTGATTTAGTCTTAGTAAAAATCTTTAGTCATTTGGACATACAGGAACTGCTTAAAACTGTGTCTGTAACACATACAAGATTCAATGAAATTGTGAAGAAAACATCTTGTCTGTGGAAGCATTTTTCATTTGACCATCCACTAGAACTGACACTTACTAATTTCAGAAACATTTTGGATCATTCTTCTGCCTTTCTTGAGTTCCTCATCCCAGGCGTTACACTGCATTTGGGGTCTTCAGAAATCGACTTTGAGCTAGTGACCAAATTATCCAATGCTAAAAACCTGTATTGGCTCGACTTAACAGGATGCAGACTTTCAACACTGTGTTTCCTGCCAATGCTTTGCAACTTAGAAATACTTAATGTTTCGGAATGTACAAATTTGGTTAACGAGGATTTCGAAATAATTTCAAAGTTAGCAAATTTGGATCACTTATATGTATCTTTTACAAACATAAGGCCTGATACTATAGCATTTGTGTGTGAAAGTTTAACATTGTCTGTTCTAGATATCTCAGGCATAAAGTTGAATATAGAACAATGTGTAAGAATTTTACAACCAGATTTGGCATATTTGCATTTAAGTGTTGAAAGTCAAGAAGATGAAATATGGCTCAAAGGATTTGTGTCGAGACATTATGAATCGTTATCTGTAAATATATACAGATTTTGAAATGAATAAATTCAGTGTAAACCAAGTACTTAACATGCTAGAGGATATTGATTCAGATAATGAGATACTTGAAGACTCTGAAGATAACTTAAAACTTTTAAAAAGTATTCCATTACAAACAAATACTAGTGATAGTGATGAATCAGCTAATAATTTATGCGTAAGGTCTATGTCCTTTCGTGACATTTATGAAACAACAAGTAAAAAAAACATTAGAAGTGACTCAAAATCAAGATGTTATGCCTTGTACATTTAATAACACTAACGATACAACCGTGAATAGAATAAGTAATGATGATCAAGTTCAATACACGGGATATTTTCATATTAGTGGTAATAATGAAACAGCTATTAATAGAACAACGGACATGAATAATATTCAATGCCCTGAACTGATGAATGTAACTACAGATGTGATTCAAGTTCACTGTGAAGGGCCTTTATCATTTAATTGCAATGATGAAGCAACATCGAACACATCAACAGACATGAATCAAGTTCAATATCCTATGACAATTAATGATGAATTTGAGATGAAAAGAGCAACTTATATCAATCCACAAGAATCTTCTGTTTCTCTGAATGTATATGACTTGAATAGTTTGCCTGCGTCATTTTTAGACGAACTGAACAATGACAATGTATGTATGGTATCTGAAAATAGTATCGATGTCTTCGCGAATTTTAATCAAACAAGCTGTCAAGAAGTTGATACATTCGTATACTCAAGAGACACAAACAAAGAATATGACATCTTAGATCTTGACAAACATTTAGACAATAATAACAATATATCATTACCAAAACAGATATGAAGCTGCTAAGGAAGATTGTATCTATGAAGAGACGAATTCAAATTTGTCAAATGAGATAGAAAATGAAAATGATAACACTCAGAAAGTGATCAAAGTCAGGTTTTTAATGGACCTATCAATGAAAATATCAACAATCAGTCTTGTCAGAATGGTACTGTTACACGTGGACGAAAACGAGTCAGAAATAACGAAATGTGGTCAAAAACAATTAATAAAAGGAGGAGACAAGCAGGTAAAGAATATATAAACCGGCAAGGAGTAAAGGTACCACAGAAAAGAGTGAGTGTCAAAACAAATTGTAAAGGAACCAGCAATTGTCGAAGAAAGTGTACTCAGCAGTTTAGTGATGAACAAATTCAAGCTATTCATGACGGATATTGGTCATTAGACGATGATGGGGAAAGAATGGTTTCATCGCCCGTACAATAACAAGACGCACTAATGAAAACAAGAAAAAAGATAGTAATCGTAGATATACTTATGAGTTCTTTTTCTTCAGAAATGATGATAAGATACAAGTGTGTAAAGACTTTTATCTAGGTGTCCTTCATATATCAGATAATCGTTACAGACAATACTTCAAAAAAGTTGATACAAAAAGAAGGAAACGAGTTTAGAGATATGCGGGGGAAACGAACTAAGAGACGAAAAAGTGAAGATGAAATCAACGTCATTCGGAAGCATATTGAATCCTTTCAGCGAATACCGTCTCATTACTGCCGTTCAAACTCTTCAAAAGAATATTTAGAACCAGGTTTAAATGTAAACATAATGTACAAGTTATACTTAGAACATTGTGCAAATATCCTAAGAAAGCCTTTAAAAAGGGGTATGTACAGAGAAATATTCAACAAAGAATATAATATCGGCTTCCATATACCTAAAAAAGACCGTTGTGACTTATGTGAAGCAATAAAGATAAGAGCTGATAATAATTCATTAAACTCGATCGAAAAGGAATTTCAAGAAAAATATAAGAAACACATTTGTGATAAAAAATCAACAAAAATGGAAAGAGACAAAGACAGGTTGAACAAATCAGACATGATTGTTTGTTTTGACTTAGAAAATGTTATACTTTTACCGAAAGCGAATGTGAGCAATTTCTTTTATAAAAGAAAATTAGCCACGTATAATCTCACCACACACGTATCAAAGGATGGAACAGCATACAACTGTATCTGGAATGAAATTATCGGCGGAAGAGGAGCCAATGAGATTGCTAGTGCGATTGTTACTATTCTGAAAGACGTTAAAAGAGTCCATCCAACAATAAAGTATTTTACATTATGGTCTGACAACTGCATTCCACAAAATAAAAACTCAATTATGACAATAGCTCTGAAACGATTTATGAACGATTATGACATAGATTGTATAGTTCAGAAATTTGGTTGTCCTGGACACTCTTGTGTCCAAGAAGTGGACAACATACATAGCAATATTGAACGTATAACCAGATACACGGAAATCTATAGTCCACTATCTTTAATTCGGGTCCTTAAATCCTTGAACATGAAACGCAAGAATGCAGTTCGATTTATTCAAATGCAGAAGCATCACTTCATGGATTACCAAAAAAGCATAATGCCATTAAAATTCAATGATATACCTTATACTAAAGTTAAGTGTCTCAAGTATGAAAAAGCAAGACCATTTTCAGTAGGGTACAAACTTTCCTATGAAGAAGATGTATTTAAAACAGTTATAATTGCAACGCGAAAAACAAGACAAAGTTTACCGATTCTAGAACTGCCCAATCCAAAAATGCTAAAGTGTCACAGGATTATGTCAGATCAAAAGAAGAAAGACATTTCAGAAATGCTGAAATATATGCCTGAAGTGGACCAACAGTTTTACAAAGCCAGTAAACTAGTAACTGTTAAACAATAATTGAAGTCAATTAGCGGTGAAACTTATTCAATTGTAGTTAGGATGTTTGTTCAAATATGTAGTTAAACTGATTGTTATGGGATCATAAGTCTTTGAGTTAAAAAGTTGCTTTACCCTAAATATAATCGGTATAATGTGAATAGATAATTACGTTCATAATAATTCTTTCCGTTTGTGCCATATTGAAGACATTTTATCACATGAATTTGAACAGATGAAGGACATGATATCATGATAAATGACTACAATATTTACATTTCATGAAGCGGTCCGAATTTCTTGTGTTTAAATAATAGGTCTTTACTTTATGTTAGTCATTGATGTTCTTATGAAAATGATTTTTATGATAAATATTTGAACTATTGATCTACATAGTTTGCAGCAGTACTTTTCGGTGAATATGCTTGAAACTTTTGATATTGACAACTTACAGTACATGTATATGTCAATGATAATATGTTATTTCTTATGTTTAAAAATCTTTCTTTGTGTTGTTCATTGTTAATTTTTTTTTCAAAGATTTTGTTTTAACAAATTATCTTACAAATGTATTGTCATGTAAATAGAAACAGTTACTTTGTTTTCACTAATAAAAGTGTTATTATCTTCATATTTTGAATATGCTTTCATATTTTTAAATAAAGTTACGTCAGAAAAGTAAGCAAATTGTATTTACTTTAATTCCATTCCAAATTGACGCAAACTATTATTTCGAACCAAATTGACGTATGTCAATGCGTCACTTTAGAAAATATTTGAAACAGCTACAGCGTATTTTTCAATGACATTACTATATTTTGTTTATTAAATATTAAAAAAACAATTCAAGGAATGACACTTAAATTTTGCATACATATATATCTGCACACATTTTGTTTATGTCTAAATTCTCATATTAATTCATCAAATAGTAAAAAAGATACAAGACTTTTAAACTTTAAACCTCATTTTCTCGAAATGAAAGAAATACGACATACGTCACTCTGGAACTAAAGCGACGAAATATCAAATACCAAAATTGTTATTTTTATCGATGTAGTACAGTTAATGAGAAAAGTTAAAGAATGTTGTTCAATTGCAGAGCTTTTGGAAAAAGAATTAAACAAAAGTGTTAAGCTTATGTTCGATAAAAAGTTTGAGAAACTTGAAGCTGAGCGAACAGCACACATGGAAGAGAAAATGCGTGAATTCGAAAGAAATTACACAGAAAGGGCTGGTGAAGAAGCAGTAAAAAAGAAGTCGTTTCTTGAACGCTTCAAACTACTGTTTATTAGAAACAATTCCTCACATACTTTTATTCTGCTTCATATAGTTGATGGAAGGAATATAATAGTCAAATTGTTGTGAAGGTTGATTCAAACTTACAACGGGTTTTATGAACATCCCTTTAACTTAGAATTTAATTTACTTTAAAACTTAATGATGTTGAACGTGTATTGTTTATGGACATTTCAGTCTTGGTATTCAATATGTTTCAATATTGATTATTATGCTTAGTTTGATTGTATTGAGTAACTTTCTAGAACTAATTGATACATTCTTTTACAGTCACTTAGCATGGCCTAAGATTTTTTCATACTTTACATGTATAGTTATATACGAGATATAGGTAATGGTTTTACTTTCTCTTTTAACGTATTGAGATACAAGTTGTTGATTTCGCATTTACATATCTTTATAAATATGTTTAGTTTCTAAAAAATAGTATTTTGGTTCTTTTGATTATTTGCAATACTTTTATAGTAAATTCTCATTACCAGTAATTTGCAGACCGATCAGATTTGTTAATACAATGCCACCTTGGATTCAGAAGTTCATCTTACCCGGCTTCTCTGCGACTTCTGACATTCTGCTGCTTATTTTTGAAAAAGAAGAATCTCTAGAAGCTCTCTAAGGTTAAAAAATATTGATTAATTTATTTTAGGCACTTTGGCATTTAAGAAAAACTTACAGATAACTTAATTCACTGATACAATTTTGACGAATTTGAAAGTAATTTTGTGGCAATTTCGTTTGACAAAATTATTTGATTAATATACTTTGTTTCTTCTAATTTGTAGCCATCTGGAATCTTAAGATTGTCAAAAAAGTTTAATAACACAGAATCGGTGAGGTTATAGGTTATTTTTCTTATTTTCAGTTAATTATTAGATTTTTAACAACTGACGTACTTCTTTAGTTAATTTTTATAATCATATTTATGAATTAATTAACAATAGTTTATATTTAAGTACATATTGTGAAAAAGTTAGTTTTATTTCAGTTGGTTCATTTCATTTGAGTTTTATTTCCCTTTTCATTCAAAATATAGTCATCCTAACGATAAGATTTTTCCTCCATTATAAAATTATAAAAAGAAAATGATGAAAAAAGACACTTATTGCATTGAATTATTAATCAAGATAACTACTAAATTAGGTCATACAGCAGGACTATTTGAATAAAACAAATGTCGTTATTTATGTCAAAACCACGCTAGACTGTTTAATGTTGACTGGATCAATTTCAGAAATGATCGTGTATTCTGTATAAACCTTTGCTATTCCTTTGATGTGATTTTGCAAAATAAAAACTGTATCCATTTCGGTGACAGTATTTTTATGATTTAGTATTTAAAGTCCTTGATGTTTGCCATCTAAGACATATTAGGAAAAACCAAGTACTAATCAGGAATAACTGTATGATAATCAGACTTTTATTGTTAAAAACAAGTTTTATACAAATTCAACAATATTGTAAACTTAAAATCTACGGCGAACTCATGTTTCTGAGCACGTGTTTTTCACGTTACTTTTCCTGCCAAAATGTTTTCGAAAAGTTATATATATCAGGTAGGGAACAGAGATAAAGGTATGCATGCAGGAGACACAGATTATTTTTTTCTTTTTGTTGTTGTTGTTTTTTTTTGTTTTGTTGGTGTTTTTTTTTTGTTGTTGTTGTTGTTGTCTTTTCTTTGTTATGTACCCGACGACATTTACATGACTCCCTGCGCATGACGTAACTTTTTTAAATGACGTATTTTTTACGCGCGCATTTGTCACACAGCACTTTATCAATCACGTTTTCACGAAGTTTAATGCCCACTACACTTCAGAGCAGGGAGTCTTTATGAAAATGTTTGCAAAAGTGGTTATTCTTCTAATGGTAAAAAGCATTTAGATTGAGTAAAGGGCGACACGTTATGAATAACGTAAATATAAATTACTGAGATTAGACTTATCAAGTTTTTAGTTATAGCTTAATCAATTGACTGGTGTCTTTGCAATGCGTTATTGTATAGTCATTGAGTAATCTTAATCACGTCACGACATCAGGAGGATAATAAAGTTGGTTTCCATACAGTGATATCGAATGGCAACTTTTTTGAAGGTTCTCCTGCTTCAGCATCGAGACTTTGTATGGCAATGCTAGGAACGCTTGTATGTTAAGCGAAGGCCTTGCTGATATATAGTATCACAATTAAGTAGCTGAAATGTGTATTATAGAACCATAAAAAGAGATTTTTGTATCGTTTTGATAAAAATGAGGAATTTGACTCATAGAACATACTAGTCAAAACATTAAAATAAAACTTTAAAACTTTTATAGCTGCGTTAGAACCTGTATACAGAAAGAATCTTTGTTAACTTCAAACAACGTCCTTTTGATTGACAACTTGAACCCCACCAAACGTTTAAGATACTTGACACTATAATTTGGAAAGAAAGTGCTAAGAAAATATAGCTATTTTTCACGAAGGTGTCTTCTTGCAGAATGTCGATGAGCAATCTGAGTCCTGTTATGATATAGCTTCAAACTTGCAATAAGTCAGTACATTTACCTCACATTTGGTCTATACCTGAACCTTGAAGTCCCTTCTGTCATACGTGGGTCATGATTTTCATAACCTCTATATAAATAGCTATTGTGTGGATTGAATGTACCTTGATAGGTTACCTCTACTTCACTGCATTGGATCAAATGGTCAAGGCTAATGCGACTTTTAATTCAAAATATTTCTATATCTTGGAAATTTACAGTTTATTATTCTTCAGAAAGAAAAGTGCCGCGCTGTACCTATGATAGTTCTTGGTAATTTGTAGATCTTTAGCAGTTAGTCTCTAGAATAACTCATTCTCAATTTTGTAAATGTATCTTTCATTGATATTTTTTTCTTACGTTCGTTTTTGTTATTTATTTCTAAATTTAGAGATACAGTAAGGGGTTCTATCTCCACAATGTTTGAATAGCACTACTTTGTTATTTGACAAATTAAACAAAAAAGTTCTATTTACTAATCCAAATGCTTGTCAATGAAATTAACAAGATCAGATTTATACTTTGGTTAGAGACTTAAGGTATTAGGACCCTAATGGGCACTATCAGGAACTAAAAACTTGACATCATAAGTCAGATGTATACCTTAAAGTACACCTGTATGCAAAATTTAAACAAAGTTTACCGTACAGAAATCAAGTTATGGCCACTTTTCTGAACTCAAGCTAGGATGTTTTGAGGGCCCTTTTTTAGAAAGTAGGAACCTTTAAATAATCTGCAATAACATTCTAATGAACAATGTTTTCCCATTAATTTTTGGTAAGAAACAAATAGTACCATTCAGCTAACAATCCAAATAAGCACAATTATGGTTTCTACATAATATTTAAGAAATCTGTATACAAATGTTACCCTACCCAACCCATTTTTACCACGTGTCTGACCATTTTTCTACTTAGGGAGCCTAATTTAAAAAATTCTTAAAATTTATCCAAATGAGTGCCTGTTTTCAAAGTTTCCCTAAATTTTTAAAAAAGTATATTGGTTGATCTTGTAAAATATGAAATACTTTTACCGTCTAGTTTTGATTATATTACACTTTGAAAATATCAGGTACCATATTTATTACTAGATTTAGCATAATTTAGCCAATAAATACCTATATAAATTAAAAAATCAAAATTAAACACTTTTTTATTTCCAAATGGGACATGAGAGATACATAAATAATGTTAAAAGAAAAAAAAGAAAGAAAAAAAAAGTTGACCCTTCTGGGGATTGAACCCATGGCCCTCATTTTCAATGTAGTTAACAGTAGTTCTAGCCTATTTGAATACTCTTCAAAGCGGAGGTAATGCATTAGGGTGCTAATACCTTAAGTGACCTTGTTAATCTTAATCATATTTCATGAAAATATTTCTTTTTCTGTGTTTTAACTCAAACGTCTCCGATATATGTTATACACCCATGTGTAGCAACTATTAACGACGTTTACGTAGATGTTTAACGCGATTTGTTATGAAAATGCTTTTAAAACTCTTCCCTTGGAAATGAAACGTCAAAGTTTGGGTATTTAACTTTGGTAAGTAACGCTATATACAATACAACAATACAAGCGAGGTTTACGCATGCGTAAAATGACTGCGAAAGTATATGTCCGTTGTGCACGCACTGCATACATGTAGAATAACCAAACAAAAATGCTACGTAGACGAATGTCTGATCTTCGCAATTGTTGAAATTAAAGGGGAAGTATTACGACATGTATATTGTTATTACGTAGTACTTATATTGCTCGTTTTATACTGTGACATAACGGGTACCCTTGATTCAACGTTGTATTATGTCAGGAGCCCGACAACATGTATCTTATTCATATATTGACAGAGCTAGAAGGCTCGTAATGGTTTATCTTAATGCCTTGGACATGAATAGAAAATCAAATTTTAGCATAAACATATAGTATACATGAATGAGACATTAAAGCCATCAACCCGTTACTAAAATTAACCAAAATGAAAAGGCACACGTGCAGCCTTGCTATACTGTATAAAATGCGACTACTAAAGTTTTTGAAACTGCACAGCACTATCCAAATCATCTCAAAAGAAAAATTACAAAACTTTAAAATATATACATTACATTTTTTTCAAAACAAACTTGTTTCTTAGATTCTAAAAGTAACATACGGATAGATTGTAAAAAAATCAGATGTTTTATCACAATCCAATGCAACACTAATGCGTCTCAGAATGTCAGACATGTCAGAAAGGTTGTAAGATTATAAACCAATTTGTTTGTAAAGTGTCACCAAATTCTGTTTCCAGTGTTATAACTATAGTTTATTGGTTATAAGACTAATTGCAACAGTGATATTCAATTCAATGTTATATTTGGCTTAAACAATTAAAACAAAACAACAAAAAATAGCAAACAAAAAAACAAAAACATGAGTTGCCTGAACTGGGATTTGAACACCGGACCTCTTGCTTCTAAAGCGAGCGTGTGAATCCCTCGACCACGGGGAGATATAAGATAACAGCCTGAAGAGTACCATATTATTCTTAATTAGAGTTTGTAACCCTTATTTATTTCGATATATTGTGTTCACGGTAAACCTGTTGTTTAACACTGAAGTAAATAATCATGGAGCTGAATATAAGCATGTATATCTATAAGAATAACACAATATTAGAAATCTTCGACCAATCGGAAACTATTTTTTCGTTACGAAAATTAATGCGCCTGTCATTTGACAATCTTTACGTAGTGATCTCCCCTTAATTTTTCGGCGTTAATGTACATATGAAGGATAGTAACCGCTTCGAAGAGTTTGGACTACTTTCGGTATTTGTAAATAAAAGCATCAGGTTCTGAAATTTTGCTACCATTATTTGTTTGGTCTGACGCCCCAAACAAATAAAAAAAACATTGTCTTTCCATCCGAAGCAAATGTAAGTAAAATATGTTTGGAACAAAGCAATAAATTTTAAATTTGTCATTGAGTGAAAAGCTGGTGAATGTGAATCATTTTATATACGTTTGTATTTATTGACGACTTGAAAATTTAATCTAGTCATTTCGCAGTAAGTCATGATTAAATACTACTAAATGAAATTACTTTTTGAACATTTTATCAAGTTTTCATTTTTGACATCGAAGATAAGAGAAGTTGACTCAATTTAAGCTCTTGACAATATTATTTTAACTTGCAATAAAAGAAGGTGAATGTACCTTTTTCATACATTAACATATGCACAACCACAATGGCGCGTTTAAAGCCCAAGTCCACAGAGCAAGTGGTTTATTATGTCCTAGGGCTTTTGTATGCACGAATATAAAGTGCATTGGGGTCA